CCACTTGTGAAAATACGCGTAACTTGTCTTAATAATTTTGGGTCCACCGCTGAAGTTGAAGTATTTCGGGAGTAGCAGCCTATTAGGTGTTATTCTGTGTGCAGTAGCAGCCAGTGTGTTAAGTCGGGGTCAGTAGGGAGCTGCCGCATTTCAGCCATCCATCTCCAGCCTTATAAAATACCTGCATCCCTCACACACACACGTAGAGGGATACTGTAAATCAGGAATAAAAATGTAATAGCTGTAAGATTTACAGATCAGCGTGAGGATGAAGAAACAAAATCTCAATTTGGTTATTTCAAAGACATGGTAACAGATTATTACAACACATTTTGTTTCACAAGATGACACATCCATGCTCACTGAGTCATATCATGGGACCCAGATGGGAAAACCTCTGTATTTCAAAGCTGCCAGCTCTGCGTATAATGGCGTTGTTCTTTTGCGCACATGCGACTTTACGCACGAATACGCACCAACACGTAGGCATATGGCTTTGGTCGATCAGTGCCCCTTCTTCTTTAACCCTAAATGGTAAAAACAGTCTTTCTACTCGCGAATGGCGCCTATATTTCCTAATATCAGATTTGCTCGATGCAGGTATATAGGCCACACCCGAGGCCATCTCCAGCGGCAACGATGCTCCTTGTCTCCCCTGGAGCTGAAAGGACAGAGACGGATACTAAGGAGTGGACCGTCCCACATGACTTCTTTTCATACCTGCATGTGAAGATATCTGATATAGAGAGACATATCGCGGCGGTTTTTTCTCTCAACCTGCGTTTGTTGAAATACAAATACCCCCATCAGTGTGCATTAACCCCATTCCAGTGGCGTGATTCTTTCGACTACACGTTATTGCGTGGGAAACACACATATTGTATTTCTTAATAGGGATATAAACACATTGTATTTGTTAACTGATTTAAACAAAAATGAACGGGTAGACCTCCCCAGAATGTGGATTTTATTTGTACCTTGAAAGCAAAATTACGCACATACAAGGAGGTTTACGCACAAGTAACTCATTTTCTTATTCAATAAAAAGGGGAACATCTATTTTTGTGTATCTCCTGCTTTTTTAAATAACAGGAGGAAAGTTGCAAGTGTAGGTTTTTTTTAAAGCCTGTTCTGTAGGAAAAAGAAAACAGCTGGAATTGACGTAGACCGAGCAGAAATCCAAACAAGCTTTCATGATTTCATTATTTGGGTTTTCTTGTTGTAGGCGGATTATTGTGTTCTTTCCCTAAACGGGGTCTGACCCGAACTGAGTCAGGGACAGTTCTGCTCTTGACCTTTGTACTGAGCTGTAATTATTTTCATTTGCACACACTCAGTTGTTGGTTTGTATCCGGTTACAGGATGGATGATAGAAAATTGATATTTAATAGATATTATTGGAGACGTTACACACAGTTGAACTGAGCCTTATTAAGCTCGACTTAAATGGACTGAAGACCATTATGGTTTAAATCTAAGACTGAATATCTGAGCAGTCACTGCAGAGGTCCTCTGGATCTGCGTCTGTTTTGTGGCGGAGAAACCACAAAGAAATGTTGGGAAGGGAATGGTTTTAAAATACTCTCGTTTCCTTGAAATGTCACAACACTGTAGAAGCTAACGGTTCACCACCAAATTAGCCTGTTAAACGATCCACTTAACTAGTTGTTAAAGCTCGTTCCCGTGATAAATTTGGTTTTAATATGGGAACAAATCAACCTGTTGAAATAACTTCTGAATGAAACTATACATTTTTTTTACTGTGACAGTCCGAACACGACACAGGTGAAATACACAATTGACAGGGTCACTTCACAATTAAGGCCTTTTTATTTATAGCCTCGATTAAATGGAATATTTTAACAATCAAAAAATTCAATTATTTTAATATACTTTTTTTGCAATACGAACCAAGCAAGACTAGAATGTTTTTAATCATTTATGCTTTACGTTTTATTAACCTGGTTGTGTGTGGGAGGCTAAACCAACAAATACAAATTAAAGCTATAAAGTAGAAATGGATGTAGTTTGATCCATTTTACGCCACAATTTTCAAACATAGGCAACATGGTGAATAGTGCTCTTCTTTATGTCACCTTATCTGTGAACACTTTGGATTTGCATGTTCTTTTTTCTTTTTCATGAATGTTATTCATCAATATTTGAAGTTGTGAAGCTTTGCAATTTGAAAAACCCACATGGGTCAATTAAATATCTGGGATCAGTTGATTCAATGATTTTCTAAACAAACAAAAAAAAAGATTTAATCACAAGCAACACTAATTATTAACTAAACAATCACAAATTACATAAGGAAAAGTTTTTATTTTCGTTTTTTTTGAGCTATTGAACCTAAGAATAAAGTTTATTAAGATAAATAGTCCCACATTTTCTTCCTTCTTTCCTTGTTAATTTATTAATTTGTGTGTTAAATCCCTTTGGCCCAACAGAAAAATTAAACTCTTTTTAGACGAGCAGGTTACAGGATTAATTTAATTAATTGAACTAAACCGATGACAAGGAGCAGAATCGATCCACAAACCGTTTTTAGTTTTAAAGTCTTTATCATCCTGATCCGTCTCCACAGCAACCCTTGAAGACACTATCAGACTTCCGGTTTGGAAGCTGTCAATCACACCCCCATGAGCATTTTGCAGGACTCAGTGAAACTGACCTGACAGAGACTTCCACCTGCTTCACTGTGGCCCAGGTGCGAATTCCTCCTCTTCCCCCATGGACGTCCCAGAGACACATCCTGCCCCTGCACTGAAAAGCAAGTGTGAAAGACGAGCACCGTCATTCAGCCTCTAGTTTGTTAAACACCACCATTGATTTTGTCAGGAAATGTGACTAAACATACAATAAGGAGAAATAAACCTGTGACTGAAACCTAACTCCTAACTTAATCCCATGAAATAGTAGATTTGAAATGAGTGGAAACACACCAATTCACTTTTTTCTGTGCATCTACTCGACTTTTATATGTTTTAGTATGTTTATAAATTGCTGAATATTAGAAACAATTGTGTAAAGTGGGATCATTTTCCTTGAAATGCCTTTTTTTATCAAATTCCACAGGTTGTAGATTTTAAATGTAAATTATTGTACAAAATGTAGTGTTGTTATTATCCTCCTCTTTAACAGATTCATGTTTAATAAGACTGTAACCTGGTGACACACGGGTTAATCCCAGTGATTCAAACATAATTATTTTAGTCAAATTTATTCCATTTACATTACAGAATAGTTTGGGTGTCATTTGTTTGCATTCTCGTAAATTCAAAACTAAAAAAACTAAAACAACATGCACAATAATTAACTGTTTTTGCATGTGTTCGTATTAAGAGTTTATTCTTGAACTAATAAATTAACAAATACTCCAGAGAGAAAAGTCACAGAATAATTGTGTTTAAAATGCTCTATTTTGTCATAAGTCATAATACTCAGCCTTCTTTTCTAAATACATCAGTGTGTCATCTGGAGCAATCGCATTACACATCTGCTGAGGAATTTCTCTGAACTGTGACGTTCTGAGAGACTCTGTCTGCTGTGAACTGAGCAGTGGAAAAAAAGAACAGGTCTCCTCAAGAATATTAAGATTTGAATTCTTGTCTGTAATGGTTTAAAGTGATTTAAGGGCAAATTGAAAATATTTAAGTGTGTTTGTTGGTTCTCTTCAGATTTGACAGTTTAATAATTGAGATCAGTGTTTTTATTCAGGTGAACAAAAATCATAGACATCATATTCGGCTCACACCAGAGTAGCCTTTACATGAACTACAGTGTCCATGTGCACAAGAATACATTTGCATGTGTGAGTTGAAAGAAAAGCAGCATAATATTGAGAAAAATCTACTGTATACATCCTTTTTGATAGACAGGCTTTTTTTTTTTAGTTTTTTAGAAAATCAGAAACATCATGATATCAAAATAGTAAAATATAATGAGGTTTTTGTGTGTATAGTCACTAAACTGAATAATATATTCAGCAATGGAAATTCCTGATAAAGCAAACAAACGAATGATATAATGTGCAAGTAAAAGAGGTAACACCACTTTCTGTTACCATTTAGTACCAGTTATTTAGGTCCCTCAGCCAAGGCACGATTAGCAACCAGGCACAGCAAGCAGCTGTCCAGGGGCCACAGACCCACAGGGGCTCCAAGAGCCTCATATTCAGCCCACACCATTTCTGTCTGTTTTATCAATCACATAGTTTACAACACTGAGGTAAAATGTAAAATAAAACATGTCCCTCATAACTCCATCATCTTGCAAAGGGATTTGGTATCATTCAGGTTTAAAAACTAAATTGTTTTAGTATATTTTGTTCACTCGGTATCAAGTTGTATTTGATCATATATCTGACCCTGTGTCAAGTAATTAACACACAGAACCTCAGGTAATATTGTCTTAGAAGACTTTAAGGATACAATCAACAAGTACTTTTATCACCAGTACATCTGAAATAACTGATTGACTGATCAACGTATAAAATAAACATAAAAACACATTCAAACTTCTCTTTTTTCACAACTCCCTAAAATGTTGCGTTGACTATCATACTTAAGTTGCGTCTGACTATCTAATGCTGCATGAAGAAATAATAAGGAATAAACAGCTTAGTGTTGAGGCAGTGTGTTGAGGCAGAGCTCCTGATACTACTAATATACACAATAAATATATTTTATAAGCTGAAGATATGCTCTCAGTGTAAAGTGCACCTATAGATGTAGTACATGTTGTATATTTATGCAAATAAAAGATTCCCTCTGGAGCGTGGTTGAGTAAAAGTATACAGGAGAATAAAACTCCTCATGAAACAGTGTGTAGTATATTTGTATAGAAAATACTTGAAGCTCTACAGTTTTAACATTCAATCAATTTCTCACAGTTTTTATTTTGCTGTATATTGTTTATTACTTTATTCACGCGCGCTCATGTGCGCGCACTTTGACCCCCCTGTTACCATGGCAACTGCAGCGCGTCACACACACACACACACACACTCGGAACGCGACCACACGGATCCTGGCTGCCGCTTCCGGTTCTGCTCTTTCTCCCCGAGAAAAGGAAACGGCCTCGCAGCGGTAATGACAACACCACGAACCGGAACAGCGAGTCGGGACGCGCGGCTCGGTTCTCCGTAGATACCAACCCTCGTTGTAACCGTTTGAAAGTCGGTGCGCGTCGCCGGCAGCAGCAGCGACAGAGAGCGGAGCAGGCCGAGCGGAGCAGTGTGTGTGTCAGTGGAGTCAAAATGGCGTCTGTTTGCCCACTCAACGCTCCTTTAATCTGCCTGTGATTCTCCTGATAGTCGGTGATTCGGCGACGGGGGACTGGTTCTGTTTGGGTCCGCTTTTATATTCACCGGAGCAGTCGGGGGCAGATTTCAGCGTCATGTCGGACTCGGAGGAGGACAGTCAGGACAGGCAGCTGAAGTTTGTGGTGATAGGAGACGGTGCTTGTGGGAAGGTGAGACCATCAAACACACACTCACACACACATATACACACAGACACACACAGACTGACACACACAGGCACACGCTGCTTCACGGTGCTCATCCTGAAGCTCGCACCGTCACCATGGTGACCGACACTGCCATAGCTAACTCGGCTACAAGCTAACAACAATCACAGCACGCTAGTGGAGAAAGACGTATGCAGCTCCTAAAACGTATTACCTAAACCCAACCTGAATGTCCTGTGTTTAAAACCTCACTACTTAAGTAAATACTGTAGAATGCTGTAAAATGTCTGTGACTGAAGTATTAGAGCAAGAGTACATGATGCGAATAGACAAAACAAACTAGAGAAAACATCTATTAGATAACACTTGCACAGCAAATACACACAACGTGCAAATACTGATTGCATCACATCCACATCAAGAATCTTCACACATTCTGAATTCGTCCCTCTGTTCGTGTGATGTTTCCTGAGCCACTGGCTAGCACACAAACCCAAAGAAAAATATTGCCGCCCCGTGGTTAACATCTGGCTAAGGGGGAGTCTTATTACTATCAGCAGTTCATCATATTTGAGTTGTGATTCTTGCCAAACATTAAAAACACAATTTCTAAATGGATTTTAAACAGAACTAATGCACTTCTCTCATTCTGCCTCTGCAATTTTTTTCCGCTGGCGTTAAACTATTTAGCTCTGGAAACCTTATGTGGTTTCAGCTGTTAGTACTAGAGACAGGCAATTGCTATATTGTACACAAGGAATAATGAAAAAGCTTTGATTCTGTCCAAAGCTCACTTTATTGCAATTGGTTATATTATAATTTATTTAAAGCATTTCTCTGCACAGAGGGATGTAAATGTTTGTTGATGTGGCCCTCTGTGTTGGTGACTTTACATAACTCAACAGGTTAGTTATTTATTAAGTCGTAACCTACAAGAGGAGACACTTCTCAGATTGTCAATATGATGGATGGAGGTTGACAAGATTTCACTCTGGAACTTGCAACTTCACTGTCAGTCGACGTTTGCAGTGAGAGACGCATATGGTTAAAGTCGGCTGCACAATTTTTCCCGTATTCCTTTCTTGCTCAATCCAACATTTACTGAAGCTAAATAGCTGTTTACTCTTCATTAAATTAATGAATGTAACTATTTGTTAGCTGCTAAATTAGCAAGCTACTAATTTTAGCGCATATCATAGAAAAACACTGCAATAGTTGACACAAAATCTGACTTCACGCCTGACCACCAGCCTGAGCTTCCAGTAAGTCCTGGCGAAAAGTACACTCATGTATTACATAATGTAGTTTTCCAGAGGTTGCTCATTCACACTGATCTTGGGTTGGTCAATACTCAGACATAGTGTAAACGACGTTGAGGTGTTTTTATCGCAGTCACAGCTAAAGGTAAACACTAAATAAATAGTCAAATAATATTTCTCTTGCTTTTTATTTTTAAAGCAAATCTAAATGTTTGGTTTTCATAAGTGAAATACAAAAGCTGCTCTTAATCTCATTTAAATGTTTTCCAAAAGAAATTCTGTCATGTAAACAGCAGGTAAAAAAATCTAACCATAAAAAAATGTTTTTACCTACTTTGCATTCACTTTTTATAAATCCAGTGACACCTTTTACAAAGTTATTGTACTTCTGTAGTTTTGTTTCTGACTCAGATTTAGCATTAGGATTTAAATGATTTGTTTTGAACCTTAAGATCTATCCAGCTCTTAGTCTATGCATCTGCTATTGCACATAGTTGCCTGTGGTGCTTTCTTCTAGCTGGCTAATTCTTATTATAACAAGTTGGTACACTCAATTTTAATATCATGCCCAAGCTGTGTCTCATAACCATTACATTCAGTTTACTGCTCAAATGACACTGGCATTTTTAAAGACATTTAGAAAAACATATATCAACTTAAATTTCCCTTTTAAGTTTAGTTTGTTTTGAATAAATGTTTCTTTGAATTGTGTTGAATAGGAACATACTCTTAACCTTACAGCTGCTCAGTGAACTCTGGGTAGATTTGTACAGTGTTTAACAGAGTGTGGTAGTTGATAAAGGAAGGCTACAGTTTGCTTAGTCAGGCTCTTGCAGCTGGTGGTTATTGTCCGTCAGTGTACCTCTCATCGGCCCGTATAGAATTGGCTCCAGAGTGAAGCTGCATTTAAGAAAAATTGTATCTGGACAACCCTAATGAGAGATGCGGCTATTTTCTCATTTGATAGGATAAAAGAATACTGGGAGTAGAGTTTGGTTGAACACTATGAAATGTGAGCAAATATACATTTTCTTACTTTATTGTGTATCTCTGTGGTAAATCTACTCCATGCTCATGGAGTGCTGTTCGTCCCGCTTCCCTTTCAAAACCACTGGAGCGAATTCTTCACCATGTTCATTAAAATAAGTATAAGAGGCAGATTATAAAGGGCCAACCAACATCCACAACAGGGGAATTTTTACCCTGCCACACCAAACAATTCTTTGCAGCAAGGCAGTGAGGTTGTCATGACAATCCAGTCAAGTTTCTTCTTCACTGCATCTGAATCCCCAAATGAGTGCGTGCAAATGCAAGGGAGGAGACGTCAAGTGCTTCTCGGCTACACATCCCCTTTCATAACTAATCTCTGCTTCCTCTGGGAGAAAGAAAATGAATGTAGCAGTAATGGTGAGACCCAATGAGAAAAATGAATGTTCTCATTCGAGACATTTTCTTTTGGGGTAAGGGGGGGGGCATGTGGAGAACACACACAACTCAGTTCCCAGTAGATACGCTACATTAATAACCCTCCCCACGCTGCTGCCAGGTGTCAGCTCGTCACTGTCTGAATGACTTACCTGCTTGTCTGTTTTGGGCACAAAACAGGAGCCCTGCCCCCATTTTGAGTAGGCACCACTGACTGACATCTTGAATGCCGTTTCCCCCCTTATTAATGTCAATTTGCTCAGCAAATTGCAATCGGATCAGTTTTTCTTGGACAGCATTCTCGGTGGTATTTTCGCCTGTGGTTGGTTGTCCATTCAGAAATAGAGAGGGGGATCTGGGGAGGCTTGTCCACCTGAGCAAGATGTTTTAAAAACATGGTGGCTCACATATTAAAGAATAACTTATACACAGGTATATTCTTTAACCTGAGTCCCAGCAATGATCTTTACAGATGAGCTCCTCATCAAAATAACAACTTTATTATCTGTCTTGACTGAATATAGAGCCAGTTTTGGATACCACGCTGCAAAAATGCACAACCTCTCTCATATGTGTTGCATCACATGGACATAATCAGCTTGCCATATTTTTTTCCCTCTCTCTCTCAGTTTCTTGTTACAGTAGAACTTCCCCCATTTCCCGGCACTGGTATCGTTGGTGACCCTGTGCTGTTCTCTGTTGGAGTGTCAGGATTACGCCAGCTTTTACATTTGCTGGTTAACTCCAATTGTACGATGGGAAAAAAAAAAGGTCTACGTTGAGGGACGTGAGCCAAGCTACTGGAATGCCAAGACAAATGGCCGACTAGGCCAACGCGAGCATGTGGAATACATTTTTGCTGTCCGAGCTTGTTATTCCTGTGTTGTCAGTGATTGTTTGGGCTACTTAAATGGACGATTTTCTCCTTGTTGCGTCAGTCACCTCTAGTAATTTTTCAGTCACTCTCGAGCCTGTGACAAGCTCTGCAGACTGTGATGAAAAAAAGTCTGCAGGTTAGTTAACGTTTAAAAGAACTAAGTGGATCAAACTTTATCCTGCACCTCTCAGGACATGTTTATCAAGAGAGCCATTCGTAAAAGTCAGGATTACACATTTAGTGGGTTCAATTAAAAGACAACATTTAATCATCCCTGCTCGATAAAAATAATGCTTTTATATCAAAGGTATCATGACAAGAAATCCAATCAAATATTTGGATGGACAGTGATAAGGGTTTTCCAAATTATATTACATTCTGTTTGCTTAGGAGTGATTTGAAATAAATCCAGTCTAATGTGAAACGTTACTTGGTTAAATCTAAACTCTGAGCATGAATGGAGGTAGATAAGGACACTGGATCAAGTGAAAGCTTAGTGGACTAAAAGAAAGAATTTAGTTTTAAATCTTCTAACCCTCAGTGATTGTCAAGTACCACATTAAAATGCATTTGCTGCCACATGAACACTCAGAAAGTCCCATTGCTTCACTTTTCTGTTGTGTTTATGTAAGCACACTGCTCTAAAGATAGCTAATAGACATTCAGCACTTCATTTTTTTCCCTATCCTCATCCATCAAAATGAATTAAACTTGGCATGTCAAGCCTGCGCTATGAATTCCCATGGATTTCAGGAGAGCCCCTAACATGCTATTTTTTTCCTCCTCAAACACAACGGTGACAGTGATGGAGGTTTTATAATTTGTGGCAATTATTAGGTCTGCCGTCTGGAGACATGACACATACTCCAGCACCTGTTTTTGTAATTCACGTTGATTTTCACTGTCACAACTGCGGCTGAGCAGTGAGACGGCAGACGAGGCAGACAATTACATCAGCGTACCTTCAAGTCAATCACTACGTTTTTGAAGGTGCTTAAAATGGATTGGTAATGATGAAATGAATACTCCGCGGGGCATAGTTCACGTTACTCTGTCTATGAATTCTGGCTACGCTAGGTTGTGGAAAAGAATCACATGGAAGTGTGGTGAAATGATAAGTTAGCCTTGTGTATTTTTAGAAATATTAGAAATTGAAATATTGTAAAAAGCTTAGTTTGGCACTTTACTCACTCTGTGTGAATGAAATCTTCTCTGCTCACCACTGAAATATCACTTTTTCAGGAAGTTCTTAAACACGCTGTATATTTTCTCTGGAAGGAGTTTTGCAGCATCTTCCATTTTGCTCTGGGCCATGCTATGATTTTCATTAAGTTTTTATGCCATGCAGTGTGTGAATATTATTTATCAGGCAAAGCAAAGACTCGCAGATTTTCCTTTAGCTTGAAAGCATTTTCTTTTCAAAACACATTACTTCAAGTGGCATATTTTCAGTCCTGTTGATTGCTGCAGAGCTGTTCTTGTATTCATTTTCGGTCTGTCTCCCTCTCTCTCTCCCTTTGTCTCTGTGTTTCAGACATCACTCGCCACCAGGTTTGCACAGGAGGCCTTCGGGAAGCAATACAAACAAACCATCGGCCTTGATTTCTTTCTGAAGAGAATAAGCCTTCCAGGTGAGACACCTTCATAATCTTCTGGGAGTGTTCACTTGTGCAGAGAGTCAGCACGGACACGCGTGTTGCACAAGCATGCAGTGGCGGTTAGCAGACTTGTTTATTCAATATAATTTGGGATGATTGTATTCAGAGAGACTGCCTTGATTGTTAGTGGTTGTTTGTTTTTACTGTAATTTCAACCTTAAGGTTTTGGTTGTTTTTGTGTACACTTAAAATATCAGCGTTAAAAAAGACCCAGAAAATTCATTGAAAGGCGAACAAAGAGGCCTGTTGTTCCAACTTTACTGGACTGTCATATTTTTATTTCTCATATTTTCTGGAGTTTTTTTCTTCAGGTTACCTCGGAGCTGAATGTGTCTTTTCTGGTCGCTCCTCATTGTAGAGTGTCTGCCACTTCTCAGGGTTATTCACTCTGAAAGCTCTTCTCTCCAGAGCATACAGCACTTTTTTTGACTCCACAAGGCCACTGGACAGCTTATGTCCAAATGGGCGAGCCTTGCTCATAACTCTGTGGGCACAGTACAGAGTAAATACATCAACATTTTATATCCATATCGCTGATCCCCCAGTTCAACTGATCTTTGTCCTGCACCACATAAAACATTCATGTTTTTATTTGTTTATGTTGAACCCACAGAAATAAAGCCCCACTCTGTATCCCCCTTAGATCTGTAAAATAAATGTTTATTGACTAATGCTATATTTAGACCCCATTTTTACTTCCTACCATGTGAAATGGGGATTTTCAGCATCTTAAATGGCATTTCTCAAACTCTGCCAAGGCCTAAGCTCCAGAAATCTGCAAAGTGGCTCCATTCTTTCATTACTAATAAAACAACATTAAGCGAGGGCAAATTAAGTGCTAAATGTAAAATTTATGCTGATTTGTGAGTTGGCTGAAGGATTCTATTTTGATTTTGTGTCAGTTTCAGCTTATGAGACTTAGGAGAACTAAACCCCCAAAAATGTTGTGGTGGAGTCAGAATGAAAGAGCCAACTAAAAGCACAGGCTGGGCTTCACTTCTTAAAAAATGAACTTGAATGCTGTTAATCGTTTGACTTCTCTTTCCAGTAAGTTTCTTTCCTGAAACAATCAGTGCTCTCTCAAGTGTGTAACTGTAAGCTTTGTTGAAATGTAGTGTACATGTATCACTGGGGCAGCAACAACACAAGGTCCAGCACCAGAGTAGTTAAATGTCCCATTTTCCGGGGAATTGGGTGTTGATGAGCTGATGAATTGGAGGGTGGCTCTGCGAGCTGGGTGGTCCCAAACTTAGTTAGGACCCCCACTCTGCCTTGTACTGGAGAGATTGTGTGGCTCTCTGGGTTTCTATGGGGCCCTAAGGGTCTTTTGCAGTGGGGGGGAGAGTGGCCTAAAGTCAGCCTTGGCCCCTCTCTCCATGAAGGCCCGGTTTGTCAAACCTAATGTACATTTTCCAATGCAGGGAAAGGTGAGGATAGGCCGACTGGCACACAACAGCCTCCTCTGTGCATGCTTCTTATAACAATGCCTCTTCCTGACGCCTCTGCCAAAACACTGAGGTACAGGTGGTGGAGGGAACTGACCAGAGGTGAAATCCACTTGATAGATTCGGTCACACCAAGAGGACAATTATCTTATCAACATGCTGCTTTTTTGAGCTCTTTATCATCACAAGTCAAGTCTGTGGGGCTCACAATTGCAGTTTCTACTTCAGGGTACGCAGAGAAATGTCGGAGTCAGCGTGAATCTCTAACATAAATAAAGCTTGTGTCTGAGGATGGGTGGGGATGGCTCTTTAACCGTTATTCATTGCACTCCTCAATGTAGCTTTACATTGACACTGTATAGTCTAGATGTAGTGACTGTGAACCTCAGCGTTTCCTTCCCTCGCTTTATAAAGGGGACTTATGAAGGGTTGAATCGTCCAGCCGTGTCCACAGGGTACGCTCTGCTCCCCATCGCAGCTCCAGCCCAGCGCAGGGCCCTCATCACACCAACATAAACTCCTCGCTGTCTGGTCTGCCCTCCTCCTTTTTTTTGGGTTTTTTTTTTCAACCACCCCTTTCATTTTCCAGAGGAAGAAAATATTTATTTGGATTTGGTTTTTGTGCCCGTCTTTCTCTCTCCCCCCCTCTCTCATTCACTCCTTCTCTTTCCACAAGCATTAGGACTAGTCTTCTTTTCCTCTTATTTTGTGTTTAATTATTGCTATTTTCCTTAACAGCACATAATTCTCCTCACTTGGCAGGAAATGGCACAATACAAAAAGGTCTTCCCAGGCTAATAAGAAGTAATTTTTTTACTGCCAGAGTATTGAGGATGTTTAAATTAGAGGGTAACTGTACCCATTCATCCCCCTTGATCTTTGAGCTGGATATTCTTGGAAGTGAGGTGTTGGTGACCTGCCATGCGAGAGCCCTGAGCATGAAGCATTAATCGCTGATTTATTATTTCCATTATGTATATCGACAAGGTGGACTTTCATTAGTGAAATCACACGGCCAAAATACAGAGTCGAGTTACAGCTGACTGGCTATTTCCTATGGATTATGAGCTTTGTTAAAACAAACAAGTTAAGGACAAAAACATCTGCAATGGAAACCCACAAATTATCTGTTGAATTATTTTATTTGCAGATGAAAGAATTTTTAAGAAAAAAAAGTAAGAAAAGAAAGTCATATAATTTGTCAATATTTTTATAATTTAAATTTAAATGTCACTTTTTATATTAAAGATATTTCTTTCTTTCCTCCACTGTAGGCAATCTGAATGTGACCCTGCAGGTGTGGGACATTGGAGGCCAATCGTTAGGAGGGAAAATGCTGGATAAATACGTATATGGAGCTCATGTAAGTACACACAAAGTCATACATAATCCTCTGATTTGTTTTTACTCTATCTAACAAACATCTTCATGCACCTCTTCAGTCTTTTATTTTCCTTGAACGCGAAGCAAAAATTTGTAGAAGTACAAAACAAAATGTTATAGATGCTTGTCACTATGGTTAAAAAGTCACAGGACTCTTGTCCGAGTTATTATTACAGCTTTGGCAGCTTCATGCAGAGCCTGCCACTCCCTACCTGTGGAGCCAAATCATAATAAACCGTCATTTGGATTCACAGTGAGCAAAGCAGGTCAAGAGAGCTTTAAAAATCAGCCTTCTCCTTTTTTAGAGTCGCTACTGTTGATGTTCTCTGGCAGACCGGACAAAAGATGATTAATAATACTGCACATTGTAGAAATATTCCGAACTAAATTCTCATTCATGTACACTTTTAGTACCCCAAATTTGTAAAAACATCCAAATTTAATTAAACTTTTAAACACTCATGCTGCTATTTAGTAATGAAAAATTAGTGGAGAAAATAGTTTGCTAAATGATCTATTTACTCTTGCCTCTCATTTAAGGTTTGTCCTTCAGGTAACAGAACAATAAACTTATTCAAATGACAGCTGAGCTTTCGGTCAAACACAACGTATATGTTTTTCATTGTATACCAGTTTGTGCCAACAACATCAGCATGGACAGGTAGCTGTGTCACCATGTCACCATAGAGGAGTGCTTTCTGTCACCTCCAGAACATCTCACGTGTCAAGAGGCCCACTTAAAGGCCGTGGTTTGTCAAATCAAAAAGCATACTGCAGCAGGAGAAAGAGACACGTCACCGCTCACCGCACACCAGCTCTACTAAAGAATAATTGTAGGTTTTATTTTTTAATGAATCTGGCCATAAAACTCATGGAGGTGACACCTTTTTCTAAGTGTTTTCTGAGTCTAAGCTGCACCGTGGTAGTGTGTATATTCCCATGTCTCCAGCACTTCTTTCACAGTCTCCTGTACATCACTACCACATTACAACACTTTGCTTGCAGAGTTTGCTCGTCAGTGTTGTATGGAACTTCCACACCTATTGTTCACCACTGTGCGTCCTGTAATCAATCATAGCTGTTACGGAGAGACTCGCCGTAATTGTCAGAGGCGCGAGCTGTCGTCACCGTCCCTGCATGTTGTGACAGTGCATGTCTGCTGAACAAAAAGCAACAGACACCCCTTATGTCGTGTTGCATCATGCAGTAAAAGTAGAGACATTTACCGTGGCCCATGTTCATATCCAGTCCTTACAAAAAGCAGAAGTTATAGTGAGATAGTTGAGCTATGAGAGGATTTGTCTTGAATCCCACCAACACTTCTTGTAGCTGTGTTTACTCCTTGATTGATTCGTGTGTGAACAGTTTCTGGTCTCAGTGTTGGCTTTGTTGTTGTTGCAGGACTGTTTCTCTAGAGCGCAGTGTTTAAGATTACTAAGGGAGGAGGAAAACATCTCTCAGCAGGCAGCTTTAATTCATTAGCTCAGACAGTAACCAATCCTAACCTATATTCTGCACTGAAATTGGAGTGTGATTTTTTTAAAAAAAGTGGGAATTGTTTATTATTTGCAAACCTTTATTTTCCATCTTGAGTCAGATCCATGTGAATTTACAGTGTCACGCACCACAGATGATGTGTGAGTGTGTCCCCGACTGTAAAAAGAGGAGCAGTGCCACCTACTGTTCCCATGCTCACTCAGTATTTAACTGACGTTAACACAAAGGAATATTAAGAGAGACTGTGTACTCATATCCATAATTTACCAGTGGATGATTGTAAATGTGAGACATTATTCATCATTGTTTCTCTTGGTTTTTCCAATGCAGGGAGTTCTCCTGGTGTACGACATTACCAACTACCAGAGCTTTGAGAATCTGGAGGATTGGTTCAACATGATGAAGAAGGCCAATGAGGAATCTGATATCCAGCCTGTTGTCTCCTTAGTGGGGAACAAAAGTGAGTATTCGATGCATATTTATACACAAACACAGACAAAGTCATTGTTTTTCTGCAGGAAAGAAACAATACTGTTCTTTAAAAATGTCAGTGTAGTCTATCAAGTTTGGATTGTACTTCATTTTCATTTCTACTGAGTTCACATAAGTGAAGAGAGTTTCTCCCTATTCACTTCACCTTGACACATTTTTCATTTTGTGCGTCTGTGTTTGTGTGTGGAGGAGTGAGTGTTTGATGGTAGCAGACGTGTTTGTTCGAGCACCAGATAACTGATCGGTCTGATAAGCCAGTTGATAAGAAAGTGGGGTTTCAGTGCCATGGGAGAGCTGATGTTTGTGAAATCTTGGGAGTGAAGGCCGATGATTTAAGATCCCCGGGCCAATGGACCTGGGGCACCGCTTATCTGTGCCCCCTCCCTCCTCCCCACTCAGTACCCATCTGCCCCTCCCCCAGTATGAGCCTGTGCTCCTGACTAGAGTCGTTGGTTAAGGAGAGGAACTCGACGTTAACCAGACGGCTCTCCTCCTATCAGCCTGCACCCGTCTACCTATCTCCAAAATAAAGAGTAATAATGATGACTCCTTTTAAACATCCCCCTGACAGATGTGGAGTCATGGCTGCTGCCGTGTTATTGTAAAGTGAGGCGTCAGCGTGCGTGTGTGTAATGGTGACTGTCCACCTTCCTGGGCGATGATGAACGGTCAACAGAGTGGTGCCTGCACACAGGAAGCTCTCGCTAATGTTACTCAACGGGGATCATAGGTCACGGTTTAATTCGCCTGTCTGGAGCAGATTCTCTTGTCTTCGCATCCGTTTGCATCTCTTAATGCCCCGGCTTTAACAGTGGGCGCCTCTTTATTTAGGCTAGGTTTTGGGTGTGTGGGTGAGTGTGTGTACTGTAATATTTAAGTAGTGTACATCCCGCTGTCAGGCTCCTCACCCCAACACTCGCACAGTCGCTCTCCCCCTAATGGCTCTATTGCTGAGAATGGTCCACATTTTTTTTTCTGTTCCTGAAGGCTGAAAAAAAGAAAAAGAAAATCCCACACAGATTGCCCCGCTAAGAGCAATCAATTACCTTGTGAGACTTTATGAATCCCAGGGCCCTCCCATTGACTCCCTTTTTTTCAGGGACCTTGAAGAAAGTTAGTCTAGCTATGAAGTTAGACATGTCCACACCTACATTTTTGTTTTACTTTTCCTCCGCACCGTGTCTGACATTTCTTTTGTTTTTTTGCTTAAGGGATTCTAAACATTTTCTATTATCATACCGCTTCTCAAACTTGAGTATTTGGGACACATTCACAATACGAACATTCTTTTGAAAGCAGAATTTAGATTTCTTTCTTATTGTTCCCATGATGTTTGACTGGGGGGGGGGGCAGCATGTTTGTGACAACAGGAATAGAAGCACAGACATAACAAGGAGCTTATAAAAACACAACAGATTTATGTCTCTGTGAGGGCACGTCCTATGGGAGATTGTGTTGTTTCACCACTCAAAATCTTTAGTGTTCCCACTTCAATAAACTTGAGGTGAACACTGCTGGCTAGTGCAAACTGCAGCAGAAAGTTAATCATATACTAAAAGACCCAAACCAGTATTATAACAGTTTTTTTTATATTTAATTTGACATGACTCTAATTTTCTTCTTAACAGTACATGTAATTTTATATGAATTGAGCTTAAATTTCCTGAATTACCCCTTGCTTGCCTTCTAGTTTAATTTGAACACTTTCTTCCTCACACAGTGTACTGTGTACTTGTAATTGAGCTTATGGACCAGACGAGTAGTTCATTAATGATGCTGTCCCCTCCTCTCCTCACCCTGCCCTGACTGCCCTCCTGTGCCATGTCACTGCCGGGGAACAACCTTTCCTTTCTTTGGCACAGTGTGGCCGGCTGAGGTTAAGTGTGCTTGTTAAGAACCAGTGTGTCGGACTCCCATGCCCTCTGCATGCTGCCCAGAGCCTCCTGTAAAACAATGGCATCACTTGTAATAACAATAATAACAATTCAGAGAGGAAGCCAATGAAACTTTTTATTGAGGGAACACATATGTGCACACAATTATTTATGCAATGACACACAGTTGCAGCTGTGCACAGAAACATGCACTCCTGTAAAGTGACACACTTGTGGAGTTTCTGGGAACACATGGTTAATGGAAGAATGCTAAGCTCTTGTTCTGTTTATACATACTATTACTGTTTATTATAGAGCAGCCCAGCGCAACACCATATGGTACACAGGAATCTCTCAAGAGATGTGTGAGCTTTTTGCAAAGTCATCTTCTCCACCACTCAACTGTTTAATTTTTAGTAAAGTCTAAAAGTCTAAAAAGTATTGTGTTCTTTGAAAGACACCCAAGTAGAGTGCAATACCCTTAACTTTTTTTCATAGATATAAGCTCCCTAAATTTACCTTCCTTTAATAGTTCCCTGTGAAATGTGTGTTTAAATCCTGGTGTCACAAAATGCATATTAACACACATTTTTGATGGGTTCTCTCTTGGCCCATGTCGTATTCTTCCATTAAGTTTTATGGAAATCTGGTCACTAGTTTTTTGTGTAATCCTGCTAACAAACAAATAACCACCCAACAAACTAACTGAGGCATAAACACAACCTCCTCAGAAGTAACTGTAAACAGTCCTAATCCACATTTTGAATCTTTTCCTGCACCATGACATACACACATTATCACTGTATGGGATCATCACTAATTCAGAATGACTTGCGTTGCTGTTTGAAATGAGGGCACATATTTCTTCGTAGACATTAAGCCTGTGTCGTTTATCAAACCAATTTGTTTTTATTAAGTGGGGATCGCAGGACCCCTGCTCGCTTCCCATTTCTAGCGCTCTCTCCCTCAGGAACTCCAGAGCATCCATCATAGGCTTGTACAGCCCTTATTTGGGTGACTTAAATGGGTTCAGTTCTCTTAACCCCTCCTCATCACTCATGGCTTCTTACTCAGAGGTTCGAGCACCGTTCACTGCCGATCCACTCAGGCCTGCCATGGGAAACGTTTCTTGCAGCAGAGAGATAAGGTCCCCGCATCAAGACAATTTGTAGTTTGTCTTACCTGCCTTTCTCTTCTGGCTCTGTTTCTTTCTCCCCCTATCTCGCACAATCTCTCAAAAATACTTGCACATTCATTTTCACCCCTGTGCAAACACTTACCATTTCAATCACACTCTCAGACCTACTCTTAACTCTTATCTCTCACATGTGTCGACTAACACTTTGGCTGTAGATGCCTTTACTTACAGTAATGTCTTTTCATTGGCTCCTTGTCCCTGTTGTGTCAAACAACATGCATGTGTTTGCTTTCTGCATGCTACAGCAGATCTCGCCGCATACCGTTACCAGTCGCACTTCTCTCTCTGCAGTTTTCCATCCATCCATGAGAAAGCCAAAGCGAAACATGGATCTCCCCTAACTCTTGATTCTCCTGAAGCATGTCCTTACCACCAACATTGTTGGTCTTGAGTTGTTTGCCCTCTTGGCAAGGCCTCAGGTGGAGTTGAGCCCCCCCCTGCCCTCCCCAGCTCTGTCACCCCCATCACCTCCTTGCCCCAGTAAAGCTGCCACAGTTCCTGTCTGTTCAGTGTTGGCCTGCACATTTCTTAATAGAGAGATGCTCAGAAGTCCAGGAGCGCAGAGGCGCTCAATGTGCTTCTGTTTTTGGTTTAGCTCAAAAATGTTTTTCCTGGCTCAACCCACTCCTACTTAGGTCCTCTTACAACAAACTAAAAGGTCCTAATTGCCCCCAAGGGAAAGGTTTAGCCACAATAGACATGTGGTGGGACAAAAGCCCAGTACTCTTATCCCAGCACCCACACCCCTCCCCAGATAGAAGAGATGAACACGTCAGCAGTGTCTGTGTTGCACTGTGGGTAGTGTGACCACAGGTCCGACACTGTAAAACCTTATATATACAGTATATAGACCTAGTAAGGCATGGTGTATGGTTGGGTAAAGATGTGGAATGTTTACAGTTTACAGCAAATGCAGTGTTTCCTGTTTCTCTTCACATTTTATTTAAGGTAAAGGGTCAGCCGAGACGTGTGTATCAAATTGTCTCAGTAACCGCACTGACTGTAGCCTGCTGTCTTTCTGTGAGTCTGGAAAAGATGGGAAATAAAGATTCAGGTTACACCAAGAAAACAGAGGGATGACTGAAGAATTACAGCTGTATTTCACTGAGGCTGATAAGTCAGTGTAAAGTCACAGCTGCAGGAGCTGATACATGTGTCCGGCAGTGATTAAGAAATGCTTTAGGGGTTAATTAAAGCCTACATGCTGTAGGTATCAGATCGGTGGTGTTTCCCCCGCAGAGCAATCCAATGGAGTTCCAATCTGGTATTTAAATAAATGAATACAATGCTGAGATTTAATTGTAGCAACTGCTTGACCCGGCTCTGGTCCCCGCACTCATCTCTCTTGACTCTCATGCCTGTCGAAGCCTGGAAAGTCCTAATTCATATTAGTCATCCATAAAGCAAATATTGTTGCACATGCAGTAGATGATCAGTCTTCGAATACCTTCTTGTGTGGTATGTCATGGGCCATTTGAGCTGCACAGCACAGCTTAGCCACCTGACCTGAAGGCAGCCTGGAACCCTCATCACGCTCAGGCTGTACTTTATTTCTTTGCTGCTCCACAACATTGATATGGAGGAATTCCTGGAAGGGGCCTTGCTGACACAGGGTTGGGTAAATAACCGATTGATCTTGATCCACAGGATCCACATATATTATTAATGTATGCGGAATATCAACACAACTTTCACTTCTGTTGTTGTTGTTGCTAAATCTAGTTTTTGTGGTGTTAATTATTATATCTCTTTCTTTGCATCCTGCTTCTATTTCAGGTTTTATCTTGGTTGATGTTTGCTCAGGCAGTCATGAGCAGAAAGCTCTTTCCACGTTAGAGTTCACAGCTCTGGCTGCTGTTGAATATTTAAGGCCAGTTCGATGCATCATTGCTCATA